ATCCTTAGAAGATAGTGTCTAAAAAAGAAAATGTATTCCTCCTATAAATAACAAAACAGAAGTATAGATTGCCTCTATCCAAGGAGACAGAATGAAAAAAAGATTTTCACCCAATAATTAACCATTTATTCATTCAACAAATAGTTTTGAATACTTTTTATATGCTCGGTATTGGGGTGAACAAAGCAGAATCCCTACACTTAAAGTACTCAGAGTTCAGCAATGAATACAAATAATTACAATAAGATGTAATCCTATTATAACAGGGAAAATACAAGAGTGCTATAGGAATCCACAAGGCTTAGAGGTGCGAGAGAACCCAAGACAGAAAAATTCAGCATAAAAGAGCAAGTTGGAAGGTGGAGGGAACTGGTGAGATACAAGTGGAGATGGAAGAGGTGAGCAGACTGGTTCATGTAATGCACTACTGACCATGCTAAAGATTTTGGACTTTATCCTCAGTTCAATGTAAAGTCATTTTGCATGGTTTATGCAGGGAATTGGGAGCTCTGGTAGTGTAGTGCCTAAGACACTTGACTGCTAACCAGAAGGCTGGCAGTTCAAACCCACCAGCCACTCCTTGGAAGGTTGGGCAATCTATTTCCATAGTGATACTGCCTAGGAAACCCAAGGAGGGGTCGCTATGAGTCAGGTCCGACTCGATGGCACATACCACCACCACCACCAACATGCAGGGAATTTCCCCATAAAGTTTGCAAGGTTGTAATATTTAGAGAAGCAGACTGCCACGTCTTTCTCCCGGGAGCAGCTGGTAGATTCAAAGCACCGACTTTGTGGTTAGCAGCTAAGTACTTACTTAATCACTATGCCACCAGGGAGGAATATGTGGCCATGTACTTTTGTAAAGATTTACTGCTTTGGAAACCCTATAGGGCAGTTCTACTCTGTATTATGGGGTCTCTATGAGTTAGAATCTACTAGATGGCAAAGCTTTTGAGTTTGGATATGTAAATGTTAGGAACTGAATTGTGCCCTTCCCCAAACCCCTCCCCTCCAAAAAAAAAAAAAAAAAAAAAGTATTGGAAATTCTAAACTCTATGCCTGTGGTTAAGAGCTCTGGTAGCATAGTGCCTAAGGCACTTGACTGCTAACCAGAAGGCTGCCGGTTCAAATCCACCAGCCGCTTCTCGGAAGGAAGATGGGGCAATCTACTTCCATAGTGATACTGCCTTGGAAACCCAAGGAGGGGTCGCTATGAGTCGGGTCCGACTGGACGGCACATAACAACAACAATGCCTGTGGTTAAGGAGCTCTGGTGGCACACTGCCTAAGGCATTTGACTGCTAACCAGAAGGTCAGTGGTTCAAACCCACCACCAGCTGCTCCCTGGAAGGAAGATGAGGCAATCTACTACAGAAAGGTTTACAGCCTTGGAAATCCAATGGGGGTAGCTATGAGTCAGAATCAACTTGATGGCAATGAATTTGGTTGTTTTTGGTTTGAAGCCTATGGTTAGAATTCCATTTGGGGTTGGATTATCTTTGTTATGTTAATGAGGCAAGATTACTGTGGGGTGTGTTTTGAATCAATCTCCTTTAGATATAAAAAAAAGGAGAGATGGGGAAAAACAGATGCTAAGCCACGTACTGCCTAAGGCACTTGACTGCTAACCAGAAGGCTGGAGGTTCAAACCCACCAGCAGCTCCTCGGAAGATTGGGCAATCTATTTCTGTAGTGATACTGGCTTGGAAACCCAAGGAGAGGTTGCTGTGAGTCGGGTTTGACGCGACAGCATGTAACAACAAGCCACATGAAGAATGCCCAGGAACAGAGGCTTAAAAAAGATAAGGACCTTCCTCCAGAGCCAACACAGAGAGAACACCTTCCCCTACAGCCAGCAACGTGAATTCAGATTTCTAGCCTCCTCAACAGTGACAAAAATTTGTTTGTTAAAGCCATCCACTGTGCTATTTCCATTACAGAAGCACTAGATAACCAAGATTGCAGGGAAATGCTGTGGTAAGATTTAAATTTGTAGAAAGAGTACACTAATTGCACTACAGAAATTGGCTAACAGGGGAACTGGATGTTGTAACATCACTGAGAAGATGAACTGTGATGGTGGCCTGAACTAGGGTGCTGACAGACAGAATGGAGAAAAATGACAAGATCAGAGAAACATTTAGGCTTGAGCAAAGATTAGGCAGAGGTGAACTGGGTTTAAGAGAGATGAGACATTTCAGCTCCAGTCCTGTATAAATTAACCCAATTCTGAGACAACCAAATTTATTCAAATCACTATTATATATCCAGATCTGGTACTTTGGAGAGATGCCTAGATCAGAGACAGATTTGTAAGTAATGAGGATTTTCTGTTCAAGAGAACTGTAATCATGAGGAAGACAAAACTACAAAGAAAGAATGTGTTCAGTAAGAAGGCAGTTTATGGAAGGAACTTCAACATTCGAGTAGCAGGTCCAAGGAAGTGGGACTGAAAAAGGCTGAAAAGATGTGGCTAAAGATGCAGAAGAAAAACAAACAAACAAAAAAAGGTGGTGGTGGGTTTTAGTAACAGAGGGTGTCAGTGTGATTCTAATGTTAAATGGCACCAAGAGGTCAACCTATATGAGAAACAGAAAAACGTCTGTTGATTTAACAGTTTCTCAACCATCTTTTCACTGCTGCCCCTTAAAGGGCCCTTTTAGAAACTCTCCCTCCAAAGTTCTCCCTTATGAAATTTTAATTCCGTATCTGTTATGTACACATGTATACCTGTGCTTTATACATGAAGTGCCTACTTTTTCACCCTGCAAGAAGCAATTTCCACAAAGACATTGGCAATCTTGGTATATGTAGTTTCAGTGTAGTTCAGAATGCTGGAAACAGAAGACAGATTACAATGGCTAAGAACAGCAAGGACTGGGAAAAATAGAGATAGAAGAGTAGGTGATGCAGTTAAGAAGTTTAGTGTGAAGAGGATGAAAAGCCAAAAAAAAGAAAAAAGAAAGAAAATAAATGGGAGTAGTTCATAAAATGAATTGAGAATGTTTTTAAGTGCTGAAGGGAAGGAGTGTGTAGAGGGGGGGAAAGGCTGATGATTTGTGGAGAGTAACTGAAAGAATGAGGACCCTGAGAAGGTAGGTTTGTAGGTTTGGTTACAGGAATAAAGAGACTTCTATTTTTTCTGTGTAATAAGCCCACTGCCACCGAGTTGATTCCAATTCATGGTGACCCCATGTGTTACAGAAGAGAACTGTGCCTACTGGGTTTTCTGGCTGTAATCTTTACAGAAGCAGATCACCAGACCCTTCTTCCATTGGGATGCTGGGTGGGTTTGAACCACCAACCATTCAGTTAGTACTGATGCACAAACCTTTTGCACCATCCAAGGACTACTTCCTGTGTAAAAGGAGAAAGGGTATTTGTAGAGGGAGAGAGCATCACTTCTCTGCAAATGCCTTCTGCTACTCACAAATTGAGAAAGTACTAGGCTACTTAAAATCTTTAGTCTGCAACAAACTCCAATAATATATTAGGTTTAACGTTCAGAAACACTGCAAAAATCTGAAGTTTCGGTAAGAAAATCTAACCTTGCTGAAAAGACATCTTTCCCACTAAATATATGTAAGCTTTCTGCGATTGTTCTTTCACTCATACATTTCACTTTTCCTAGGATCTCAACTCAGTTTCTCTTTTTCTTTGCAAAGTTAATCCTTCTACTTGTAATCTTGATTCCTTTTCCTTCTCTTCTGGGATCTTATTCCTTCTTGCGTTTCCAATCCTATTACATTGGCTACTTGCTTTCTATTTTAAAACCGTTACATCTTGTATTCTTTGAAGCAAACAAAACCCCCAAAACTTCCCCACCTTTCCACCAACATTTGCTTCTTGCCCCAAATGATGAAGGATTAGTTTCCTCTTGGATCTCTCCTCCCTGTCACTGACTGTTAAAGCAGCGCTCTCTCAAATAACCCAAAGACTTCTTAGTCATCAAATCCGACAGTGTTTTTTCAGAGTTTAACTTCCTCGTTTGTTCCTTACAGCATTCCAAGTAACTGATAACCTTCCCCAAAAGAAAAATCTCTTACTTTATTATACCTTCGCCTATCTTAGTTCTTGCCTTCAAGTTTCTTCCTGGTTTAATTTCCAAGCTTGTTTTCTAACCTTTCTAACATCTAAGGCAGTGTTTCAAACTCGATATATCCTAAATACATCATTTGTTCTCTACAAACTTCTTTCTCTTCATGTCAGCGCTCCTAATTTTACAGTGGCACCACCTTCTTAGTCATTTAGGCTTCAGGTTCAATTCAAATCCACCAAATCCAACCAGCTACATAGCTCATCATTTTTCTGTACTGTCACCTCCTTCTAAAAAAACTGCAACACCCCCCTCACTATATTCCCAACCAGGACTCAACCAGACACCACCCACCAGTAGGACTTCGGCTCAGCCCCCTCAGCGGTATTGCTCTCCAAACGGAAACCTGGAGCTGAGATCTCAACTGCTGGTACTCTAGCTCAGTGTGGGTGACAGGAACCCTAATAAGCTTGAACCTCCCGGGCCCGGGGGCCTGAAAACACTGGGCCGCAGATGCACCTCTCCCTTCCGGCCTGGCTGGCAAGAAAGCCCGGGAGACCGCGGAGGAGATGCTCCGCCCCACAAACACCAGAGACGCTCCTGCAGCCCAAACTGGAATCCGCAGTCCCAGTTATTCGGTATAGTCCCCATTTTCCGAGCTGTCCCCAGCCGCAGACTCCTGGCCCCTCACACTCACCCCGATACCTGGGCCTGTTAGAGATTCGGCGCCGGGTCCTCTCCGGACCGAAGCTAAGGCAGCTGAGAAGGCCGTGAGGACCCTGTAGTGCCCAATAGATTGCCTGCTTAATAGCTTCAAAGACACCAATTCTGCAGTATTGGAAGGATTAAATAATCGGGAAGACATTAAATGAGAAGAAAGACGTCTCTTGTGGTTTAAGATCTAAATCCTCTAGATCGCCCAGGATCTAGAAGAAATGGAGATTTCACACCATCTGAACTCAGGCGCTCATCCGCAACCTCACTTCAGTCTGGAATTCCCCTACAGGCGGGGAGGCGGGGCCAAGAAGGGGCGGGTACAGTACGGGATTACCTAGTGAGCTAGGTAAATACGGGTTTATTTGTGTTATTTTTACTAATCTGTAATGAACATGGGTTTCATTGATTAAGGTATCCTTTCCTAGTAACTATAACGTGCAGCATGCAATTGGTGAAAGCTATGTGAAACTGTTAACTACAGATTAGTAAATAATTAGTAAATAAACATAAGTAAATCCCTGCTTACCTTGCTTATTGGGTAATCAATCCGCTCTTGGACCGGTATTGGTATTGGTGTTGGAACTGAGGGGAACAGCCAATGGTTTGTGCATAAGAGAGGCAGGGACTGGGAGGAGCCGAGAGGGGCGTGGCTTGGGGAAAAGGCGGTGATTCTGGGAGGGGGCGGAGCTAACGAGCCGAGGGGGTGGGGCGCACTCCAGAACTAAAGTGGGGTGAACGTGAAGATGGCAGCGGCAGATGGGGAGCCGAAGCCCAAAAGGTTGAAGGTGGAAGCTCCGCGAGCGCTGAGGTGAGCGCTGCTCGACGTGGGGAGGAGGGTGACGGCGGCTGCCGCAGGCCAGGGCCCGCGTGGGGTTGCGAGGCCCCAGTTCTGGGTAGTGCCCAGCTGCCTGCCTGGGGCCAGCGCTTTGGACCAGCCGCTTCGGGAGCTGCCCGCGTGGCCACGACCCCTCGTACCTTGCTCTGCACCCGCCCAATTTGTCGGTTGAGTTGCTGCTTGCTTCGGAGCGGCTCCAGCTCCGCAGCCCTTGGCCAATCGGAGCGGCCGACCCTGGGGCCGAGCCAGCGGCTGGCTGGCTGGCTGTGGGCTCCACGTGTGAGCCTGCCCGGGCTAGGCTGGGGCGACCCAGGAGGACCGGACCCAACCGGCGTAGTCCAAACACATGCACCTCCTCTTCCCCCGGGGCTAGCAAGGGAGGAGGCCTCGCTTCTGCTTTACACTGGGGAAAGGACAGCTACTAATGAATTATTGGGAATTTGCCGGAAAGTGTGGCGGAAGGGCGCCTTGACCTTCCTCATCGCACACACTCTGAAAGCCAGCACCTTTGAAGACCGGTCTCCAAGGCATGGTGGGGGTGGCATTTGGGTGAAATGGATAGTAAAGATTTATATGTTTATTTATTTTCTTTGCACTTTTTGGCAACAGTGGAGACTGTTATTGTTCTAAACACCTGCCTCACATATGATTATGGTTGCAATTTTTAACTTATAGAATGTTGTTTATAAGCGTGTCCTTTCCTAATAAGTATAAAATGCAGCATGCACAGTCCTTGATGATTTTGAAATGTATGTTGGAAGGTAGTGATTTTGCTATCTAAAAATGGACGTATCAGCTGATCTAAAAGCAATGGCACACTTCTGATAATACCAGACAAATCCTAATTTTTTCCAACATTATCCTTCACCTGAGGAAGAATCATCATAAAAAAGAAAGGACCACATAAGGAACTGGTTTTGTGGTCATGCTTTTTTGAGTAGAGGGTAATTGTTTGGGTCATCTTGTGCTGCTCTAACCACAGGAAAAATAACACAAATGAGATGGCTGAACAAAGACGGGTATATTTTCTTACTGCTGAGGAATCTAGAAGTCCAAGTCCAAAGTGCCAGTTCTATAGGCTACCTGAAAGCCTCTTGACCTTGGGCTTCAGCTCTGCCTCTTGCTCCCGGTCCACTGGAGTCGGGAGGTGTCTCTTTACTCAGGCAGCTGCAGGCTGATGAGGCTGACAAACCCAAGGTGGGCAAGTACAATGCACAGTTTCCCAAATTTATCAAACCACATGGCAGGCCACTTACTCAAGTCCATTAACATTCCCAAGATCAGCAGACAACATGGCAGGCTACTGAGTGATGACTCGGCTACAGGCAGGATTCAAGCGTGCCAAAAGCTTCCTCAAAACTACTTCTTACATACTGTAAGCAGACCACATCCCTAAGGCTGCTCTAGTAGATTTCACTATGGAGTTGATTACCAGTCTCATCATGGGAAATTACTACAACCAGCTGCCCAGTTACTCAAAACTAGGCCCAGCCAAGTTGACACATAGCCTTAACTATCAGAGTAATCAAATCTCCACTAATGCTATATTCCTACTACCCTCAATGGATTACTTTGCCTATCTTGCGGTAAGCTGCTATCCATATGTTGCCCCAGATTCATAGCCATCCCATGCACAACTGAATGAAACACTGCCCAGTCCCGCACCAACTCATGATCTTTTGCAGATCTATTATGATCCACCTTCTAAATCTGTTGAGTCAAATTCTGACACCCTAAAGGACAGAGTAGAATGGCCCCATAGGATACCCAAGGCTATAATAGTTATGTTGGAGCCCTGGTGGTGTAGTGATTTATAGCACTCAGTTGCTAACCCAGAGGTCGGTAGTTCCAACTGGCTTTTTCTCTGGGAGAAAAATATTGCAGTTTACAAGACGTGGGAGTCGGCTTCTGTAAAGATTTATAGCCTTGGAAACAGTATGGGACAGTTTGACTCTGTCCTGTATGTTTGCTATGAATCAGAATCCACTCAGTGGCTGTATTTTCTCAATTTGATCCATTTGCTTTCCTATTCTCTTGGACATCTCTGTTTAAGAAAGGCAAGACTTACTTCCATTTTACAGATGAGGTAATTGAAGCCTATTGAAATAATTAGTTATGGAATTGAAATAAGAACCCAGGGCATCTAGGTTCAAGTTTACCAATGTTCCACTGTACTGTGACAGCTTTTATACAACCACCTAAGATATGTTTATGCATCCTTAAAAATAATGTTAAATAATAGTATATAAGTATTTTTATACCAGGCACTGTTTCAGCACCTTACCCATTTAAACTTACTCAGTCCCCAGAAGGTATAAGGTGTACACTATAAGGTTTCCCTTTTACCCAAGAGGAACCAGGCAAAGAGAGGTTAAGTAACTCAGTCAAGCTCACCTGTCTAGTAAGTGATAGGGTTGGGATTTGAATTCAGGCAATCTGGTTCCAAGAGTGTAATGCTATACTTATTAACTTTGAACAATTTACTAATAAACCAAAACAAAAAACCCTAGTGAACTGTTAAGTTTTTGTTTCTTTTCTTTGTCTCCTGTTTTTTGTTAATGTGTGTAACTGTTTATGTTGATGCAATGTATGTGCATATGATGTGTAATAATTCTTATGTATGGTTATTTTATATGTCACTAATGCCTATTAAATTTGTAAAAGTCCTTAGGCAACTAAAACTCATACAATATCAATTTAGTACAACCTGTAGACATGAACTTAAATTCTTTTGCAGATGAAAATAAAAGATTAGACACTGTTGGGTACTGGGACAAATCTCTTAATTTAGTGCAAAGACCTTTTTAGATTGTCTGTTCCTACTTTCGTTATATTGTTATATTCGTTTGGCTGTAAGGGTCACATTGTGATAATGAATTGAGTGATTGATTGAACTGCATTATCTGTGATGACTTACCTGACAGATAAGGAATAGCCACCAGTTTTGGTTAACTTTTTTTTTTTTCTTTTTCAAATCCTGGTCTAAAACTACATCTTGTGTTACGAAAACAGAAAGGTTCCTCATATATTCTTAGACTGACAAGCTAAGAATTCTCCCATGCAAGTACATGAAGTCCAGAGAGTTATCCTGGTTCTCAGTCTACATTGTGTATAACAAGGATGAGAATGTTCCCATAATATTCTTTGAATGAAAATACAATAGAGAATTTTCCATTCAAGTACATTAAGTCATAATTGTTTTCCAGGTTCTTAAAGTACATCTTTTGTTACAAGGATATATATATATATATATATGAGCTCTGGTAGCATAGTGGCTAAGACACTTGCCTGCTAACCAGACGGCTGGCGGTTCAAACCCACCAGCCACTCCTCGGAAGGAAGGTTGGGCAATCCTACTTCTGTAGTGATACTGCCTCGGAAACCCAAGGAGGGGTCGCTATGAGTTGGGGCCGACTCGACGGCACATAACAACAACAACAACATATATATGTATACGTATATATATTTATATATATATATATGTATATTTATGTAAATATATAAATGATAACTGTGTTTTCAGCGAAGCTTTATACAGCAGTCAGTTTTGGTTAACTCTTAAGGAATTGACTTATATAAAATCCAAGCATAGTTTAGTGTATAGAATCAGCTAATGGGGAACAAATAAATTTATAAAATAAATTTGTAGATGCCAAGGAAAGATTTAGGGCTTTGTGAGAAATTCAATTAGATCAAGGACAATTGTTCTCAATCAGGAGAGATTTTGCCTGCCAGGGCGCATTTGGCAGTGTCTTGAGATATTTTTGGTTGTCACAACTGGGGAGGTGCTACTGCTCCCTACTGGGTAGTATTTACAGATGCTGCTAAACATCCTACAGTGCACAAGGTAGCTCCCTACCACCCCAACAAAGAATCATCTGGCCAAAAATGTCAGTAGTGTTGAGGTTAAGGAACTTGGCTCTAGGGAGAGCATCCAGCAAGACTAGCTTTCGTTTTTTTAATGTCTCGTGTTTTTCTAGGCTGGGTTGCCTTTCAGGATATGGCATTTGCTAAATTTGGAAAAAAAAGAAGCAGACACTAATACATTTTCAGCTGGGGTTGAGAAAAGAAAACATTAAGTGTTTATTATGAACCAGGTATTATATTAGGTGCTTTATATGTGGTATCACATTTAATCCTCCCAACAACCTGTGAGGTGGGAGTAATCATTCCTGTGTTACAGATGAGGTATTTGGGGCTGAAGGAAGCAGGGAAGCATTGTCAGGAACTGCTCCCTAGATGCACATGTGTCATGATATTTAGGACTGTTTAGTTTTTTTTTTTCCCTCTCTCTCCTTTCAAAATCCCATCCAAGTTTATTTCTTCAGCAGTCACCTCTAAGAGGTTACAGGTCCCTCCAGGGCTTGTTGAGCATCTGCCAAGCCTGTTCCTTCAGTCAGTCTTTCAAGTGCCTACTATTTTAGGCATGGTGCTAGAAACT